ATCGAATTTTTTTGTATTATATTCTTTTTTTCCAAAAAATCATTATAAAATTTTACTATTGCAATTTTTTTTTTTAATTTCTAATTAGTATTTGAATTTTCTTTTTCAATTTAATTATTATTATTAAATAAAATATTCATATGCATAGAATATTCTAAAAAATATTATTAAAGTTATTAGAAAAGAGAAAAAAAATATTTCGTTTTATAACAAACACATTTTCTATATAAAACAAAAAACACACCCTTTTTAAATTTTCGGTGGAAATCAACACAAAAAATAAAATAATAAAAAAGCGTTTTTAAACACCAAGGAACCAAGGAACCATAAGAAACTAAAAAAAATAGAAAACACCAAATAAATTCAAAACAAAAAAAAAAATCTTTAACCTATACACGCAATTGTTATGCAATAAAAATCAAATTTTAAGTATTAAAAATAAAAAAAAAAGGACAAGTACTTGAATTTTTTCTTATTTTTTTGATTCTTTTTTTTCTCTAAATTTTATTCCTTTATAAATATTTTTTTTTTGTATTTAAAATTTTTCTCTAATTTTTATTTTAACGTTCTTATAAGTAACACGTCCGCTTGAATACTGAACAATTTAAAAAAAAAAAAACAATAAATTTTCCTTAAAGGAAAAGCAAAAAAAAAACAAATATGAAAAAGGATATTTTTTAGTTTTGTTGTTGCTGTTATTGTTGTTGTTCTTTTTGTTTCAAACCATTCATGGAATCACAGCACAGCTGAGAAAAATCCTTATATATGAAATATATTAAAGCAGCTTTATTACACGTATATTTTGAATATAATATTAAATTTTTGCATATATATATATATATATATATATATATATATATATATATATATATATGAATAAATTATTATGTTTATATACCTTGATGGGATCGTATATGTATGTCTAATGGTATTTGAACATATTACGTTGACGTTAGTATTAGAATTGTATAGGATACATTTTTTTTTAATTCATATATTTTGCTCGTATAACAATATTAAAACGTGCAAAAATATAATTATATTTAGGCACGCTATAAATATACAAAGAAGTTATATATGTTGCATTATATTTCATAATACTACGACTGGAATGCTTCAGAAGAGCTTTTTGTTACTTCAGTAAAAGTTTCACGGCTTGAATTTACTGTAATACTGGAATTTATCAGAGCCTTAGATATAGTTCTAATGTTTAGATGGGGATGTGAATCACCAAAGAGTCACAGGACATCAGTCGTCTATGACTAAATCAATTTAATCACATTTGAATACTTAAGAACATTAGCTCCCCCCTGGTTACAAAGTAAGAAAATATAATTATTTCACTGAAACATGATCAAAAAATCTTTAATATTTTTTTAAAAAAAAGTTCAATCAGAAGTCGGTTTTTTTGTCTTCTATAAAATTTAATTTAATCACATACAAGGTATCGCACACCATCTGTACATATGTTTACAAGCACATGTATATATGTGCAAATTATGTTTGAATATAACAACAAATATTGATAAAAATATTAGAAACAAATACTTATTCGCTGGGGTATGTTTATTTTTAATATTAAGGCATTCCCTATATAACATGTATATATTTATATTTGACACATACATTGATAAATATTACATTATAATTATAATAAAATGAAATACAAATATAATTTTGATTATAATATTGGACTTGTATTCCCCTCATGTAACAGGACAAAATTTGAAAAAAAAAACAAAACAAACACAAAATAATAAAACAAAAAAGAATAGTGGCGATTTTTATATGTAGTTTGTGATCCATTTAAAGAGTATAAAAAATTGTAAACGTATAATACTTACAGTGTATAACACTTATGTAGAATATTTAAAGTGTTACACACTTAAAATGTATAACACTTTGAAAGTACAAGACTTAAAATGTATAACACCCAAGGTGTATAACACTTTCTGCATCCCACTGGGAATGGGTATATAACAGTTTCAAATGCAGCAATCTACATATGTAAATTTATTTCGGTAGATCTCTTTGCATTACAGTTTTTACTCTTATATAACAGAATTTTAAAAACCGCAACAACTTTCTATTAACAAAATTTTTCTACTACTGCCTTAACAGAGAGTTATATACCCTTAAATGGAACATTATTATAATATTGAATTCGAATAAGGAAAAGTGCTTAACTAGCTATAAAACTGAACTATCATAATATAACAATAATCAAAATAAAATATACGCAAAAAAAAAATTATAATATCCCGCATTATATATACGAATATTATGTTGAATGAAAAAAGGACTTTTATAAAAAAAAAGGAAATACTCATGAAATTATTCAAATGCACGCTATCCAGTTGTTATACATTTACAATACATAATATTACATATTGTTACATATACAAAATATTTTAATTTCTTCGACTTTCATTTTTGCACATGCGCATATTTTTTTCCCTTTTTTTTTTTGTTTTTGTTATATAAAATTTATCTCCTTTATTTTAACATCAGGTATTCAATTCTCCTTATTTTATTTCGTTTTTATAACATTTTTGCTTTTGTATATTACCATTAAGACTAATCCTTATATTATACATACATACATTATGTGAAAATATATAATCAAGTAAGTATAAAAAGTATATACACATATATATTTGTACTTATGTGATTTAAATTGATTACATATTTAGGTCTAAATAAGTACGTATTACTTGAATGACAGTTACAGAACAATTTCTATATAATTTATTTATAATTTTCTATTGTGAATGGTTTTTTTTTTATAAAACGATAAGAAAAAATTATCTAACATTCTAAAAGGATAACACAATAACACCAGTTGCGTAATTTTTTAAATTTTTAAGGAAAGATTGTTAATATTTTTATTGTTCGTAAAGCAATACGTAATATGTACGTAGATTTTCGAAATTATGTTATACACAAATTGATTTGATGAAAATTACTTTTTAAATACTTAATTTGAATTAAACATTGTTCTTCCACTGAACTATAGAAAAATGTGTATTTAATTTTAAAATAATGAACAAATATTTTTAATAAAATTTGATCTGATGTTAAAAGAAAAGCTATTCAGTACATAATATATACTACTTCATTTTTGGTATTACAATTAATTTTGTTAGAGTTTTATGTCATATAATTATAAAATTTATAATGTCACTTTAGTCAATTATGTCAACAATAAGTTATGTCAACCTAGTATTTATAAATACTATAAAAAAAATTAAAAATATATTTGGAGTATTTTCAAATCAACGTATGTGTGTTATACACTCGGGAACATCTAGTATAAAAGTATTTCATTTGTATGAAATCAAATTAAGATTGTTCGAACAACTTATTTCATACAAAAAGATGGTTTTTTTTCTTTATTACTTCCCGTAAAGAGAATTAAATTAATGGGACTAAAAGGCGATTTGTTTAAATTAAAATGGAAATAACTCTTTCTTGTTTCAATTAGTTTTCTTTACTTATTCTGTACCATAAAAACTAACCCTTAATTCCATTCAAACATTATCCTTCAATATACGTTTATCATATTTTCCAAAATTATTTAAAAAATTAAAACATTTTAGTTAATTATTTTTCGAAGTTAAATTATACTTTTAGTTAAGAACGTTTGGAGTAAATTTAAAGTAGTATGTTTTGTGTTTATAAACAAATACATTTTACATATATTATCGTTAATGAGATGCTTTAATACATTTGAATAATAACCTTAAATAATGGACAGAATTCATTTCATACGCAACATATCATGTATTGTATAAAAATTGCATTTAAATTCTAACACATTTAAAATGTATTTGTTTAAAAATATAATATAAAAATATGTAAATTTGTATGTTAATTTATATGTATATATATATGAATGCATTCTTTATACAAAATTATAATCTTATACATAAGTATGTACGAACAATTTCCTTTACCACTTTTACTATTCATAATCGCAGTAATTTACATTTTTCGTGTTTTGTCTAGCTAAATAGAAAGCATTTTCTTATGCTTTATTAGAGTGCTATTATATAAGTTTTATTTGAATATAACATTGAAACAATGAAATTCTTTACATTATTATATATAAAATTTTAGAGTACTTTTGTTAAGTATTATTTTTACATACGGTGGATTTTATGAACTGAAAATAATTTTAATATTTCATTCTAAAAACTGATTTATAATTAATTTTCCTTAAATGTATACTATGTATAATAGTACAACTTATGAAAGTGTTATACACTATGCTGTACATACATAAGTATGTATGTGTATGTATGCAATTTCAAATTAAAACTTATCTTTACATAATTTTATGAACTGTTATACTGAAAAAAAAATTTAGTATTAAATAATAAATTAAAATAAGTCTTATTAAATTATAATTATTTTAATTGCACTATAAATTCGGCTTACAAAAAATTTGTATTGTGCACAAACATAAATATATAATAAGTTTTGAATAAAATCGTATCACATTTAAAATTCGTAAAACTTTTAAAAATAAATTAATATACAATTTTAAGTAAATTTTTTAACTACCTACACATTTTATATGGAACTAGATTTACCTATAGAATCACTGAACTAAATCATTTACGCCACATTAATAATATAAATTATTACTTGTAAAAATTATAATTGTATAATAATTGTCTCTATTATATGAATTTTTTGTTATAAACTTTGATGTTTATACAATATACATTATTATAAGTGTTATATATTTCTCATAATGTTTTATATATACAATTTCTAAGTATTATAAGCATGTAAATAATTGTTTTACACTAAAAATAATAATAATATAATAATATTATATTGTCATATACATTTTTTTTAAAATAATTCATGCTTAAGATTAGAATTATTCCAAGTCACATTTTAAAAATTTTTCAGGAGGAGAGGAGAAAGTTTTATTTTTATTTTTTTGAAATTTCTCTCTCTACCTCTCTCTATCTTACGATTTTGCGAATATGAAAAATTTAACTAGTAAAAATCTGATTAGTAATTTAAAAATTCCATCCCCTGGGTTAGAAAATCGAATTCTAAAACCAGTATTTATAAGAAAATTACGGATTAGGATACTAGTTTTCCAAAGCAAAAATTATTTTATGCAAAGCAAGTAAAAACTATGACAGAACCCCCATTAGCTACCCCAATTAGCAGTAAAAAAAAGGTAAAATTTAATGAATTAGAAATCCTGGTTTTGTTCAAAAGTGAACTTACAATAGTTCGGATTTAATGCGACGATATAATATGTTAAGACTTTATGAATGATAGTGAAAGTGTAAATAAGTTACTTTGATTTTTTTTATTTGTAGCTATATTTTCTATATTATTGTTTTGGATTATTTTTTTCTTCACTTTTCTATTTACCTGTTTATTATGTGATTATAGAATTATTAAGATATAAAACAGGCTTTTAGAGCCTGTTTGATAAACTGCTTAAGTGCGTACATAACTTCAATTTATGCACGCTACAGTTTTTAATTTAACATTTTGGAATTGATGATTTTTGTAGTGGCAATATCTTTCGACCAAAATAATTTTAAAAAATTTTGCATACCTAAATGTACTTTCATAATTGTACGAGTATTTGAGGTAGTTATAGACTAGAGGCTCGTTTTTATTCTTCATGTGTGTGCATGTTACGATAAATATTAAATGTCCTTTCTATTGCTTTTCTATTCCTTCATTATTTTTTTTGAAAACAGAGTCAACTAAATAGAGAGATAAATAATATAGAGAATAGGTCAAACCCATTATAAAATTAATTTGTATAACAATGATTTTTATTAAATATTATTATTATTCTATTTATTTAAACATTTAATATACTTCTCAATTAACCCATACCAAGATGTATATAGAGTGCGTACAGTGCATAGATAAACTAATATAGATATGTATAACAATTTATAAAATTTATTATTCTAATCTTAAATAAAGTATTATCTATACACACTATCTACAATACATATATTAATAATAAATTAAATTATAAACTTTCACAAAATAGATTTTGTCTTTATATATGAAAATATATAAGAATTAAATAATTTGTCACCGTTTTCTGTATGAAAAATATACCAAATATATATACATATGGTTTGAATAAAAGTAAAAATTAATAGGAAGTAAAATTCACTTGAACTTAAAAATTTTAAACTAATTACACTATTATTTTGTTAAACAATTATATTTTTTTTCATTTCACCGTGTTCATATAGTGTAGAAAATTTTCCCTATATCTTCGTTTTATTAAAATATAATATAACATTTACATGCATAACTCATGTAATAATACAAATTCAAAGCAAAAAAAAAAAACAAAAGAAAATTTTTTCATTGAATTTTGGAATATTTTTTTTTATTCCCGATAATATCAACATAAAACAATAAAAATGTCGTTACCATCTTTTATAAAATTAGTTTGTAATGTGCACAGCATTATATAGGTGCTTACATTTGTACATATAACATTTGTAACATACATACATACAGTATAACAGATAATATAAAATATTAAAGGGTGATGAACTTTTTTTTTTTAATTTGAGCTAAACTCCATCACCACCTTTTATTCTTAAGTGTTATATTTATTTACCACCTATTTTATCATTAATTTTCTTTAATTTTCGAGTATAAATTGAATTTTTTTTTAAATTTTCATTTCAGTTTGATTTTTAATTTATTTGATGTCATTTTTAATTTATATATAGTTTTTTGAACGTATATAATAAATTTTATTAGCAAACATTTTGTCTTTTTAAATTATCTCATGTATTCAATAAAAAGAAATTTATTTTATTATTTGATATTTCTAATATTCATTAATAAAAGTTGTGAAAATGTTATACAAACAAAACAACAAGTAAATGTACGAAAAAATACGAATGGATCTTGGAAGGATATTTTCTTTGGTGGTAATCGTGGAGCCCAAAATCGTGAAGTGAATCGGGATATAAGATGTTAGTTAATGAATTCACTGTATACAAAAAAGAATTCCCCGTTATTCACTGTATTACAAAAAAAAAATTAATAAAAAAATTTAAGTGTTAGCCTTAGCAGTCAGTATCTTGTGTAATAAAAGTGATTTCCGTATAATTTCAAATTATAAATAGGATCGAAATTAAAAAAAAAGAAAAACCTGAAAATCATATATTTTGTGGATTATTAATTTCATTAGTCAGTAAATAGCCAGACTACTTAGTTGCATTATTTAAATTTTTAGGTTATATTGAATATAATTCTGACAAATACACATACATACATTCATATGAATGTGCACATTTACAAAATAAATATTAATAAAATTGTAAAATCTATAAACAAAAATTAATATTTTAGAAATTTGTTACATTTGTTATAATAACCAACTTTAAAAAAAAACACATAATTTTCAATGTAATAATATAATACTGTAAATTATTATTACTAAATGTTCCAAATATGTATGTACATACCACAAGCTCCATCACAATAAAATCGTATTATTATAAATTCTTTGACTACAATTTTATTCTCATTATCTGTTTTTGTTATATGTATGTGTTTATTAAATATCCTTTTAATTTAATTCACATTTTTACAATAGTTTTACCGTTATTCACTGTATTACAAATTGGTCCTGGTTATTGTACAGCTCCATCAGGTATTTATTTTCAACAAAAAAAAACTTTTATTTTAATTAAAATTAAGTATGTATGTGTACTTAATTATTGTCCTTTTATAAGGGGAATTAGGAACATGCCTTGCTAACAACGACTGTATATTAAGAGGAGGTATTTTAGGAGGACCTTGTGCTGGAGGTTACGGAATTTGTTGCATTTGTTAGTATAAATTTAATTAAAATAAAATTTAATATTATATTTATATATATAATAGCTATAAATTACTTATGTAGTTATGCAGACTTGTGGTGGAATAATACGTGAGAATGGAACTTATTTCGTTAATCCAAATCATCCTGAAACTTATGACACGACTGGAAGTTGTCAAGTAACTGTACAAAAATTACATCCAGACATTTGTCAATTAAGGTATATAAAAACACAATTTACATACATACATGTTATATTATGTTTATATAAAATTATGTAAATTAATTCAAAAATAAAAAACCAAATAAATTTCTTAAACAGATTAGACTTGGATCTATTTTCAATACAACCGCCAGAGCCTATGAATCATATTTGTAATCAAGACCAATTGTTAATATCTGGTGGAAGCCCAGCTCCAATAATATGCGGAACCTCTAATGGCGATCATAGTAAAATATTTATTAATACAAAATATACTTATAAAAAATATAATATAGTATGTATTCATTTTTAGTGTATATTGATGCGGGGCTCGGTCAAAGTAATCCAATTATAATTTCTGTTATTACAAGTGGCGGAAGCTTTCCCAGAATATGGAGAATAAGAGTTACTCAAATTCATTGTGGTAGTATATATAGAACAGATTCTGGTTGTTTACAATTTTTTACAGGGATAAGCGGAAAAGTTAAAAGTTTTAACTTTAATACAGTTTCTGGAAGACAATTATCAAATCAGGACTACAGCATATGTATTAGAACTGAAAGAAATTTTTGTAGTATACAATATAATCAATGTTTAGATATGGGTAGGATACCTTAAAATTCTAATGCATAAATATTATTGTATATAATAAAATAAATAAAAATTAAAAAATTATTTAAATAGAAAATAATCGCTCAAGATCTTTTACAATATCTGGCAATTCAAATCAACCCGTTTCATCAATGGTTGGTAGTGGTACGACTGGACAACCAAATTCTTGCCCAAATGATTGGTTACTTATAGGATGCATAAAAGTAGCTGATCGTGTACCACAAATAAGCGCATGCGAAGGTAAAACTATCAAAAACAAATAATTAGTTTAATTTTTTATTTTTAATTAATTAAAATTTAAGATCGAGTTTGTGGAGGAACATTCAATGCAGAAATAAGTACAATGCCCAGAACAGTACAAAGTAAGTAAAATATTCCAGATAGTCTATAGCAAAAATAACATAAATTCTTATATATGTATATAATTTTAGCTAGTGTAAGACCATTTAGGCTAACGTTTCATACAGATGGTGTTGAAGCTCCTACCGATGTTGATAATAGAGGATTTTGTTTAGATTATGTACAACAACCATGTACGAATGCTGGATAAAATTTATTTTGAATTGATCTATTAAATTTACTTAAAGACTTACAATACAATGTTCAAAAAATTATAAGTACTTATTTGTTGATCTTGATTTTATTATACTTTAAATATGAATTTTATATAAAAAATATTTTATTACAATTTTTATTCAATACGTATATGAAGAAACTTGGGAATTAATTACAAATGCCTCAAAAATTATTGTTAGAGCCGAAATTCATTTAGGCATAATCAAAAAACTTTTTGAATAAAATTTATGAACCGTAACAATATAAGGCACTTACCAACGATTGCTTTTAAGATCTAATATTCAATTCATTCTATATGTACGTATAATCAGGACAATCTTTTTTATCATAACAATGAGTAGTGGTCAATTAATTTGGCACTTGCTACAACTACGATTTCAAACATCAAAAAATAAACATTTGATTTTTTTAAAAAAAATTTATTTCATTCAAACCTTGTTTTTTCTACGTCTCAAGCATATTTATTATCATTTAAATTTTTTACTTACACGATTATAAAAATTAGATTTTCAACATTATAAATTTTAACTGTTATAAATTATTACCTTCAAATTGTATGAACTTCCTTTAGAAAGGAAAAAGAAAACGAAAAAAAAAATGTTTTTGTGGAAGAGAATTTATTTTGTAATTTAAAAATCTAGTCAGAGAATTAATTTAAAAATTATTATAAATTTTACAAAAGCTAGAAAATACATTTAAATTTTGCTCGAATTTTATTTGTTATACAATAATTATCTGATATTAAATTCTCTATCGTCCTTATTAAGATCATTTTTACCATTTAAAAAAAAAAAACAATTTAAAATAAGCTATTTGAAAAATATAAAGAAAATATTGAAATTACGTTATATTAAATATGTTCTTTTTTTTGTTATTAATATGAGTAATATTAATATTATTTCTATTACTATTATATTTTATATAGTTAATTTATATCAACAAATTAATAAGTATTAAAGATTTAGAAACCATGAACTTTTAATTGATCAGATTTAGCTAACCCAGATTTTGTCAACCATTGACATATGTTTTCTCTTTGATCACCTTGTAATTGTAATACTTCACCGTACTCAGGATGCTCAATTACAGTTCCATTGCAAGCAAATTCCTAAAAAGATAATTCTATTAAAAAAAAAAAAACATGAAAATTTAATATTCTTTCAACCTTTTTGCATGCCCGGACAATTTTCTTTAAATCGTATTCTGATGAAAGGCCTTGTACTGTAGTTAATGTTTTACGACCATTTCTTTGCTGAATTCTTATATGAACAAGACCGTCTTGAACATTATCATCAGCACCCTTAATTGCATCAGCAAAGGGGTCTAAATAATAAAAAAAAAAAAAAAAACAAATTTAAAATTTATATACATTTTTGGTGTAACTTGTTTCTCTATAAGTCTTTTAAGATCAAGTAAAATGTATTAAATCTGAAATGTTTTTAAAAAATATTCTTTGCACAAATAAAGATTTTACAACTTTTGCTTTACAGGAATTCATACCTTTTTATGCATGTTATAATTTTTTGTAACATGTGTAAATTTTTGGTAGAAAAAAAATTCGCGAATGTACTTATACTTACTACATGTTAATTGGCAATTTGAAAAATAAATTGAAATTTGCAAATATCCACATATCTTGACTAAGTTTTTACATGCATATTAAAATAATAAAACTAACTGACATGAATTAATGTACATAGTAATACCTAATCAAAAAAGCTGAAGTGAAAACTAATGCAAAGGTTAAGATGAGTCATCAAATTCTGAAATATGTACGTTAAAATAGCTAGGAGGCTATCTACATATAATTTTGTAACTAATTACATTATGGAATTTAAGAAAATTTCTATTTTTAATGAACTTTATTTTAACAACTTGGCCTTTAAAATAAAGCCAAACTAGATATAATATCTTTAATTTGACGTCATCGATATTTAATTAGAAAACAATTTCTAATTGGAAATAAAGTTTAGTTAGAAGTTTATATATTAATAGACACGACCACATTTTCATAAATTTCTTTAAAAATAAACTAAATATAATGAAACGTTTGCATAAAAACGGCAGCCATTGTCTCCAATATCCTGATGAAGGCCACAATTTCTCTTTTTATTGGAATTTAGTTTTCTGTGTAAAATTTTTAAAAAACCACTTACCAAATTTTTGTAAGTTCTGGATGGACATATACGACTGGAAAATAGAACAATCAATAAATAAAACTTTTCTGTAGAATTTTACAATAATTTTCTCGAAAACGCAGAATATATTTTAACTTATTTTTGGAGCACAACCCTATGAAAAGTGTTAATAAAGACTTCACTCAAAAAGAATGTTACCCAACTACAAAAACTAATAGTGAAAAAATGTAAACGTCAATACTTTAGGCGCCTAAAAATAACAAAATAAGCTAAATGTCAATAACTCCATCAATACAGCAGCGACAACAGTTGTTTAACCAAAATTGTGATAAATAATTTTAACAACATTCTATCTGATTTTTAAATTTGAGTTGCTGTTTTTGGCTTCCTTTTAGGTTTAATCAATAAAAAGATCTTTTAATTTAAATATATGTAGTACCAAATAATCAATAAAACACAATTAGATTGTTTTGTAATGCGATAACTACAAAAACATTTGACAATCATGTAATGCATTTTTTGCGGTAGAGAAAGTAAAATAAATCAATTGCTACCCGCAGAGGAAAATAGAAAATATATCAAATGTTAGCCAAACCATACACGGTTTAACATGTTTATCAACTTGGTTGAATTGGAAAAATAAAAGTTTTAATTTAAGTTTAACTTAAAATTTAACTTTCAAATTGGTTTGGCAACCTATCCTATAAATAAGCGACTTGCTCTCAATCAAAATGTAAGGTTAGGATTGTTGAAATATAAAATCTTACAAGATATGGTAAACTTTTAAAACTTGACAAAATAAGGTTATGTATCTTTGTCAAAACCTTCCAAATATAAGGTTATGTAACTTTTCAAAACCTTAAAAAAATGTGAGATTATTTTGTAAAGTGTCACATGCAAAAATCCCAATACGATTGAATTTTCGAAATTTTTGTTGAAGAAAATTAAGATATGATATAACGTGATGTCTATTGATATATATTTGTGACATATTCTTGCAATACTTGAAATTAATAATTTTTGCTTATTGAACTTTATTTAAAATTTGAAAATTTTTCAAATACAGAATAAAATTTTGTAATGATAAATATTTTCCAATAAAACAATCGCATTAAAAATTTCGAAATTTGGCTTATAACCATGTATTTATTAAAGTCGAAATTTTTGATACATATACATTATAAGTTACTTCTCGGATTGACAAAATTAATACAAAAATGTAAGGTCTTTAGTTTGGATGTTAGCTGGTATGTTAGAAATTTGAAATGTAAGCAAGCCTTACAAATAAAATATTTGTTGCATCCTTGAACAGCATGCGACACGATTCAACTTTATATCCAACTTAATCACATTAATCCACGTGCTGAACGCGTATGCGTAACATAAGTAAGGGCAGCAACTAATTTGACATCTGGTGAATATAATTTGATATTTGATAAACTTTTGTTGGATAATTGTTAACAAATACAATTTTTAAGTAATTTAACATAATCGGGAAGATGTTTTGTATGAAGTAAAATAAATTTTTATCCGAATACAGACCTATGTTCCCGGCGACGTTATATTTTCTAACATTAATGCTATTTAGTAGACTTTGTAAATTTTTAGATCACATATATCAGGTTTTGTGTACTATTTTTTCTAACAAACAAAACACAAAATCTCCTAATACCCATATAAACTTTTTTGGTTATGAAATTTATGTCAAAAGTCGTCGTGTAAACACAGTTATTTATTGCAACTTTTTTTAATTATATTAAAAAATTTACAAGTTATGATCACAACATCTCTATTGTGAATAAAAATATTTTATATGAATACAGAAAATTCAATTAGCACGTGTATAAAAATTTTATGTTGTTAAAACATTGCTACAGCAAAATTGAAAATGTTTTTACCGTTTTAATTTTGACAACACTCTGATAACCAATGTCGTAAATAAAAAATATGATAGTTTGTAAAGATATGTACATACACACATATTGAAGAAAAAGTACTTATGAATTTAAAATAGTGTGCAAAATATTTGCATTTGTGTATGTAAATGTCATTTTGAAAAGAAAAAAAAAAAAGAAAAATACTCATTCGGAATCGACGTCGTTTGACAAAAAATTGATAGAAATTTTACGTTCCTAAATACGGGCGGAAAATATATCGATTAATTTGCACCAATTTTTAATTTAAAAAAAAAAAATAGAAAAATTCTAAAAAAGAAAAAAAAAGGACAAATAATTTATTTATATGTAAAAAATATTAAGCGAATGAAAGTGATAAAATATAAAAAAGAAAAACAGTTTTTTTTTTGTTTGTAAAATAGAGAGAAAATTTTAAAAGCAGAGAAATTAAAAATTCATTGGAAAAGGAAATTTTTTTTGTTTCAGAAATAAAAGAAATTTTTTTTCTGTTTTAATTATTTTTCCTTATTTTATTTTTTTTTTTTTGTTATTTTGTTTCTCTTGTCCAGTTACTTGATTTTTTAATTTAAATTTGAATTAAAGAAATACTTACGTACATACATATATAACATAACATACATAAAGTATGGACTGAATGTGAAACGCCATATAAAAAAAAAAAACGGGACGCAAAATTTTGTACGCGGTCTAGCTGTATTCGCCATACGTAACAATAAAAAAAATATTGAATTGAATAAAAAAGTGATTTATTTAAAAAAAAAAAGAAATGTTTGATGAATTTTTGTTTTGATAGTTAAAATATTTTTTTATCTATAAAATTGCAAAATAAAAAATAAAATTTTTTATGTTAAAGTGAAAAAAATAAATTTTTTTTGTGTTAAATAATTAAATACGGTCATAACACTACAAGAAAGCAAAAAAAAAAAAAAAATTATAAAAAAAACCAAAAAAGATCAAAGTTAAAAATAATTTTTTGTTTTTTGAAATGAAAAAAAAGCTTTAGAAAAATATTTTTAATACATTTAATATAATAACAAATAAATTACGTGCATATTATATGTATGTATGTACATACATACCAGGTAGATGCTAAACATATTCGTACATATATGTATGTATATAAACATATATGATTCAGTTGCATAAATATACTTAAACTACATGCAGATTGTGTTTCAAAAGAACGACTATATTTAAAAATATATAGAGTACACATACACATATAAAAAGTAAGCACCCCAATAATAAATATAAATAAAAAATATATAACTATAAAAGGGTAGAGACTAGATATAAGTTTATAACAAAGTATAGAACTCGAACTAAAAATCGAGTTCCAGAAGATCGTAATTAATTAAAATTATAAAATGTAAATACCTACCTACTTATTGAATATTTTTCTTTATTTTTCTTATCTTTTTAAGATTTTTATTTTTTGCATTGTTTTTTTTCTTTCAATCAATTAAGTACCTATATACTGCATAATAATAATTAAAATATAACTTAAATTTCAATATTATTTCCCACAATTTACAATAAGTGGGAAATTTTAATTTTTTTTTTAAACAAGTAAATAGGAATATACATATTTATTTGCAAGTGATTGTTATTTTTATAACTAAGTAGGTACTTACCCGTTTAGTGATAGTAATAACTGCAACACTTTTATAATAAATGTAAACAAATTGAAATATACTACTCTACATAGGTAGGTAGGTGGGTCCATATGTATAACAAATATTATGTAAGTACTATTAAAGGATTTTTAGATATCTAGTTGTTAGGTATGTAGGTACCTGTTACAATATACACATATATGTAGGTACTTAGATTTGCATTAATTACCAATGTATTTATTAGTTATTGATTAACTTCTATAATACAAAATTACTTATATAATTTAGTTAAAATTCGGAATAAAATACTTATTTAATATGGTTGATGCAATGCAATGTCAGAATCGAGTTTTTAATAAAATAATTTTTAATGTTGTTTTTCTAAAAGACTCTTTCTTATTACATTATATTAACCGATTATTATCGGTTTTAGTAGGTATACATTCTTATAAGAGTCTTAATTTTGAAATTGGAACCAATTTTGTTTTACTAATAAGGTGGGTCTCCTCTACTTCTTAACTTGGAAATTTGCATTTAGTATATGTACCTACTTACTGCCCTCCTCGTCTAGATGTTTTGAAAAAAAATTATACGTTTTCTCTATAAAGTTTCCATATTGTATGTCAAATGCTTTCTAACAATGTAACAACACTTCAAATTGTAAAAATACGGTTTTTTATATGCAATATGCAATCGCAAATTCATTGCCTTCCAATATCAGTTAATTAATATCCTTTCTTAATAAGTCATTTAATATTTATTTTTAAGCAACGTAAGTAATTTCTTATCTCACTTATTTATTTGTTTGTTTTTCTTCTTATTGCCTGCCGATAGTTAGATAATGGTTATCTACTCATTATAAATTATTGCTAAAATCCTAAGAACAATACGCGAAATTTTAAGAAAAAAAAACGGGAATTTTTCGTTTAATTTTTGAATTATAAATATATAAATAGGTAATTCCTGTCGATTTGAATGAAAAATTTCATAGTCAAAACAAAGAAGGAAAGAATTTGAAAACTTCTTATGGTAAAATATTTTAGGGAGAAAAATCTTAGCAAGCAAAACAATGTTAAAGACAAAATAGGTAGGTACCGGGGGACGGTGACGAAACCGCCGCGCAAACCTTTTGCGACTACCCTGTACTGGCTTAGTAAGGTAGAGGGACTAGGGTACAAACCTTACGTTACTTTTCTAAAACAAAAACTATTATAAAAATTCTTTTATGTGTTGTGCTAATATTTATGTAATTTCAAGTAAGTAAGGAAATCAGTTTTCTGTTGTCAGAGATAAAAGACAACTTGTTCTAGAAGCTGTTCGAGCTGCATTTTTCCTGTTTTGTTTTTTTTTTTACAATTTAAACAAAACTAAAATACTTATTTAAAAAAAAAATTATATAGGTATTCAGATAACAAGAATAAAAGTATGGGATTACTAAATTTTAATATGTGGATATTGCAAAAAAAAAACAAATTTGTCTATGGACAGGTCCAGTTCTATCCTATACCTATTTTATTAATCTGTATTTTCCAATTTCATTGAATCTAATAAATATTTTTTTAAATTTTATTTTTAATTTCAGCATTCAATTAGACACAATTATGTGGTGCCGATTTATAATTTATATTTTTATTAAAAATATAATATTTTAAATAAATCATATTATAGACTCACATCATTTCACTCAATTAAAGCATAAACAAAAAGAACTTTAGAAATTTCTCAAAATTAGAAAACAAAAAATTCTATTACACACATAAGCATATTTAAAAAAAAAAAATAATTTTAGCTAGTTTATTATTTAAAAAATGAATTGAATTTAATACAAAAAAAAAAAGTGAAAAATTTAAATTCCAATATCACAAAAGGAAAAAATAAGAATCAAAACATAATTTTTGGTCGTGAATGTGTGTTTGTTGTTTTTCTTCCTAATATATAAAATAATAATAATAATAATTGAAAAAATAAAATGATACAAAATTATGTACATAAGATTATTATATGTACATACAACAAAAATATGAACAATATTAAATAATAAATATATTAAATAATTCAAAAAAATAAAAAAATAATAATTTATTTAGTGAAAATAAAAAAAAAATATATCACCAAATTATTACTTAAGTTTTTTTTTTCGATTTTGTTCTAAAAAGGACATGCAATAAAAATATTTGAACACTCTAAGAAAAAAAATTACAATTAAATAGACGAATAATTTGAAATTAAAATTTTAAAAATTTTTAATTAACTTTTACTTCGCTTTGGTACTTCTAACTGACCTTATCTAATTACTGATCTATTATCTAATAATAGTTATTAAAATATTTAAATAATAATATAGATAATAATGTTAAATTAAAAAATATTTTTTATTTACTGGTAATAAATAATAAAAAAATTTTCAACACATTTTTTTTTTTTAATTTAAAAGAAAAAAGACAAGAAAAAAGAATTTTTTTATAAAATAAAAAAATTAATTTTTAAAATTTTTAAAAAGTTCAACTAAATATTATTATTTTTTTTTTTTTTTAATTAAAAATAACTAAATTAAATAGTTTAGAAAGCGCAATTAAAACAAATGTTAATAATAAAGAGAAGTGGGTGTACTTAAAATTAAATGAAGTTAACAGAGTTAAAACCAAATAAAAAAATCACACAAAGTAAAAAAATTTATATTAAATATGCTGTTTTAACATTTATGTAAAAATAAACAAAAAAACCAAACGGACCCGGAAAGAATAACAAATAAAAAAAAAAATTAAAATTAAAAATTAACTTTTAATTTTAATCTTAAATTTAAAAATTTCAAAAAGAAAAGGAATATTCATTTTTTTATTTTTTTATTTGAAAAATTCCTTTTGTTTTTTTTTTCTCTTTTGTTTGTTTTGTTAATTATTACTCCTTAATTTAATATTTAATTTTGAATCTATACTAAAATAATATTTAAAATATAATTTAAAATTTAATTCTAACAATTCACAATAATAAAAAATTTTTATTAATAAATAAATAAATAAATAAATAAATTAAAAATAAAAGATAAAAACTAGTTTTAAAAAATTCATAAACATTTATGGTATTAAGTATTTAATAATAATAATTATAAAAAAAAAAACAAATCAATAATAAATTTATAATAAATTAAATATTAAAAAAAAATAAGAAAATCCATTGACAAAAAAATTTAAAATGATATTTTAAACTTTAAATTTAAAATTAAAAATATAATAGAAAAAAAATAATATTATTTTTTTATAAGTAGATAATTGCTTTTTTAACAGGGCAATTGTAATAAAATTTTTACATTTAACAACCCAAAAAAAAACACCTTATCTTTACCTACCTATACCAAAATTATTTTGTTAAAACAAAATCACAATAGAAAACTTATAAAATCACAATAGAAAAAAAATACTATGTTCGTCTATTGATTTTGTTAAATACATATATTTTTTTTTTAATTTTCAAAATTTTATAATTTATAATTTTTGTATAATTTAAAAAAAAAAATTATTAAAAATTAATTAAATAAAAAAATAAAGAACATTAAAAAAAAAAAACAAAAATTTATTTTAATATTTTAACAAATTCATTAAAATTAATAGGTATGTAATGTTAAAACAAAATAAAATAAAAGTTAAATAAAAAAATAAAATCAGATAATTTATCAAAATTAAAATATAATTATGAACGTTTCATAGATAAAAGAAGATTTTTACCTAACAAAATTTTCTAAATTTTTAATTTGCAACGCCCTCTACGTGTTTTTTTTTTTTATTATTTAAGAATCTTGTCGTCTCTATATTGTGATAATAAGAAACAAAAAAAAAAAGATAAAAGATAAGAGTAAATAAAATTGAAAAAGAAGAAAAGAAAAACAAAAAAAATAGAGTAAAAAAATCATTTTAATTAAGAGTATAAAGTAAAAAAATTATTGATAAAAAACAAATAAAAATTTTTAATAAAAAATCAAATTGTTAAAAATAGAAAAACGAGCAAAAAAAAAAAATAATCAAAACGTGAAAAAAGACTTTTGATAAGACAACGAAAGTAGTAGAAGTAGAAAAAAAAAATAAAAAAAAAAAAACAATAAAAAAAATAAACCCATAACTATTTTAAATTTTTATTTTCTTATTTATCTTAATATTGTGAATATTTGGTGGAATGGATACAGGTAAGAAAATTTAAATTTTTGTTTTCTGTTTTTTTTTGACTTAAACTTAATGAAATACTTAACTTTCATTATTTTATTTTTAATATTTTATCTAAGGTTTTTTTTTTCTATTGTTATATTATACATATTAAGTAATAATTAAGTAATAACGGTAAACTCTTGCATTTATCAATTCTCTTCCGCTCTTATTTCTCTCCTTTATCGTACACAGTCACTGTTTCAGGTATTAAATTCGAATATTTTTGCGGTTTTTGTTTTTGGGGTATGATCCAATTATTATAAGTTACTTACAAAAACGAGGTTAGCTTAATGCTACTTAATTTTCAAATGTTGCGGGCGTATAAGTGTGAAAACAGAATCAAAGTGTTGAACAACAACAATGGGGAAATTTTTGTCATTAATACACAGAAAAACAGCGGAATGACAAAATTAAGTGTTCAGTATTTCGAATATATGTAATGTTAAACACACATGGTAAAATATGATTTTAAACTATTTTATTGCCGTCTGTTTAATTCATCGTTTCTTATTCAGTTTTCACCCTAAATAATTAAGACCATGTTATCAGTTAGTGTGTTTCTTGTTTATTCCAAAAATTTTGGCCTGGGCCATGGCATTTTAAAACCTAAAATTTCGAAAAATTTGATTTTTTTTTATTGTTTAAGCAACAATTCTAAATGTTTTTTTTATTCATGTTGGGGATTTTTAATAATAATGTTTTTGATGATTATAATTACAGGAGTCTTTTGTATTTTTTTTGTCTTGTATTTCTTGTTGATTTTTACTAGATCCTTTTCATACCATTTTATACCCTATAAATGATTGTTTATTTTTAAATTTATGGTTGCTTATTTTCGACTATAATAACTGATGCTTTATTAAACCCATTTGCATTATTTCTATCATAAAATTTATTGGAAATTAGATAAATTCTTACTTAGTATACATATATATGTATGTGTGTATATTCTTCTTATTGAATATCAATAGCTTAAATTTATTTTTGAATTTTTTGAATTTATTTTGAAATTTTTTAAAAATACCCTACTTAGGTAAAATTTTTCAAGAAAAATCTTTTGTCAACAACATTGATTTTTTTTGGCCTAAGGCTTTAAATATTTTTCATGGCTTATAAGTACCTATAACCCTTTAGGATTTTATTAGGCTCTAATACAAATTTTAATTTTCATTAAGAAATACGAAATAAATTTCATTAAATCATAACAAAATTAATTAATTAAAGTTTAAAGCATTAAATTGAAAATTATGTATTAACTTGTCCTAATCATTAAAATCTCGAATTTGGAAGATTCATTTTGAATAGTTTAAAGAAAATTATCAAAAAATATTTTTTTAAATTAACAAATATATTTTGTTTTCAATAATTTTTCTGAAATGAAATAAGAGAATTACTGAGTTTTCCCTTTTCTTATCGCTTAAACAATTTAAAATATTGTGTTTAAAATATGTAAGCATAATATTGTGCACACTCTTATTTCGTTTTTATGTTTTTATCCTTATCTTCTTTTCTTTTGATAAAATATATATTTCAGTTCATTTAAGGATATTTTATTCTGCACTATTATCTTAATCCTTGTAAAAATAATCGATAAATACATAATGATATAATAAAAATCAGTTTCGAAAGAAGTTTGGGTAAACATTTTTTTCTTTTGTAAATTTTTGAAATTAATTATATTTTTATTACAATTAAAGTGAGAAAGAAAGAAAAAATCTGCTCTTTAAATTTTTGAAATAAAACTATTTAAGTATGTTTTAGAAATCAGAGCTCTTTTGACTGGAAGTATAATAATGGCAACAGTGTCATTATTATTCGCTAGTCAAAAATTTATAAAATTCATTTTAAAACTTTCGATTAGTTTTTAAAATATTAAAAATGGTTGAGGTTCGTGTTATTTAAATTGATAAGTTTTTCATGTTAAATGCATTTTATATTACAAGAAAATTCTTAAGAATCGAGCAAATCAATAAAAAGTGGTTTTCTTACAAATAAGAAAATTAAAAAAATAATAATAATAGTAAAACAATTTGTTTTTTTCATTTAAAATAAAATCTTTAATGGTTGACTGATAATGACCTCATTTTAATTCAGAATATTTCATTCTTATTTTTGTATTATTATCGAATAAAAAAATTTTCTTCTCTAAGAATTCATAGTTTTGTAAATAGCAAAGTTTTTTAGACGGTATAAAGGTTTTTTTGGTATTTCAACCATGCTATTTAAGCTACTAGTACCATGAGGGCGTAGATTTTAATAATAAAAAATGTACCAAGTTAGTCTTTTGTTGTTGTTTTGTTTACACGGACAAAATATGTACTGAAAAGCAAAGAAAATAAAATCGACCCGTATAAAGCTAGTTTACTCATTGTAATATCGAACACAGCTTGTTTGATAACACAATGAGCTTATAAAGGACATACAACTACAAAACTGGAAAAAAAAAACTTTTTCATAAATTTTAAGGTCTTATTGCTGAGGCTTGACATATTCTAAATATGTACTATGTTAAGGTAAGCTGAAACATAAACTTTCTTTAAGTTTTTTTCCGGTTCAGCCGTATATTGAAATATAGACGAGAACACAGATACAGACAGGTCGAGAAACAGATATTTTAATAAAATTCCCTAAGCTTTTATGTTAAACACTTGATATGTGAAACTTACTGCCAAAAATATTTTTGTCTCTTATTTAATGCAATTCGGTACCTAACTCGTTCAATTAATATTCATAATTATAACCATATTAATCCATAATTAATACTCGTAACCATAAATTTTTGTTTTCCACACTGTAAGTAAATATTAACCTTATTTTATTGGAACTTGTATAAAATTTCAATTTAACCAAGGACGGGCGTCTTGCTGAATTCAGTGAAAATTTATTATAAATTTCTCCTTGTTTCAGTACATACATCAAAAATTCACAATTATTAACAACATGTTTTGCATAAAAAAAAAATGACATATCACATATTGTACATACAAAATATGCACATACATATATGTATGCAATGCACTATTAAAAATAATTTTCTTTTATACAAAGTTTCTTGTATACACACACACACACACACATTTACAAAACAATTTTATCTAAAATGTTTGACAACTGAAAAAAGTACATGTAGCATTATTTTTTCAACAAAAAAACAAACACACAAAAAAAAAATAAATATTATAATTGAGCTAGCATCGTTTGTGGCATTTCTTTCATGTTTACATACGTTGCTAACTAGACTCATAAAGTAAAAAAAAAGAACGAAAAACATACAACACTTTCATGAATGACGTTACTGGCAGCCATTTCTGACATACTGGTTAAAAGGGTGTTTTAAACGTCAAATAAAAAAAAAAAAGTGGAATATAGTTCGTCGTGGATTTTTTCAATTAAAATATTTTGAGAGCACATTTTATTTAAATTATAGTACAGATTAAAATTATTTAAACTGTTGCTAATTTAATATAAATATTTGCAGTAAAAAGCAAATAAAACGTTTTTCAATTTAGGAAATATATGGAGAAAACTTCTAAATGTGGGGTATGTAATATTAAAAAAAAAAAAAAAATGAAAAATGTTGAAAAAAGAAAAAAAAATTTGAACATAAAATGATACCTTTGTAGTGTGTTAGTGATCGATTCGAAAAAAAAAAAAAAAAGCGAAACGAAATAGAAAAAAAAAAATTATTAAGTCATTTTTAATTATATTATGATTTTTTAATATTTTCAAATCGAAATTTAACCAATTAAATTAACTTATATTTAGCTTTTAATTACAAAAATTTTATTATTATCAATTGATATACAAAATTTTTAATGAAATGTCCTAAATTTATAACTATGTGTAAAATGCAGTTAAGTAATCTAAAGAAAAGAAAAAAAAAAGTTCACATAGAAGCTTCTGCAAACATGGTGTTTACGTGTACCCAATTTTTTATTTCTTATTTTTTTTTTCTTTATTTTTTTTTTTTTTAATTTGTAATTGAAAAGTTACTGAAGTTTTTTTTACATAAAAAGTAATTTTGTCATTATAAATTAAAAAAAGTAATTGTTAAATTTGAAATATCTACAATTTTCTTTTTTTTTTTTGGAAAAATTTTCATTTTACTTAATTTTAGATTAAAATAGATAGAAAAATATAATAAGTTATTATAAGTAAGTAAGTAGATAGATAGGTAGATAGATAGATAGATAGATGGGTACCTATATATTTTTATTTCATATACTTTATATGAAGAGAAGAAAAAAATGAAAGAATGACGTACAATGTTGGAAATAGATCGAAATAATAGACCAACTTTTGAATATAATATTAGACAATCTAAATAAGTATGCACTAAAGTAGGTAGGTAATTTCATTCCTAAAATATTTTGCAATATAATTATATCTTAAAGAATTTTAATATTTTTTTTTTTTTTTTTGATATTGATAGTTGCCTACCCAACTATGCCATGGTATATTTTTTATATAGATAGGTAACCATTTTAATAATTTTGTTATTTAAATTATAAATTAAACTTTTAAATAGATTGTTATTGCTAAAATAACATTTTTCCTCAAACAATTAATAATTTTTTTGCAAAAATTCAAAATAGAAAATAAAATTTCTTGAGTTTTTTTTTTTTTTTTTGGTAAATAGGCACCAACCTCTATCTAATTTATTGTATATGATGATTTTCATTATTTTCTTTGCATTGCGTTGTACATATAAGTGTAAGAATGTACGTAAAATCTTTTTGTACTTTTGAGGTTGTTTTTTTTTTTTATTTTTATTTTTCTTTTGATTTTTTTTTGTTTTTGTATGAAAATTTTTCATTAAAATTATATAAAATTTAATATTAATAAATTTATACAGAAATAATATAAAGTAAAAACAAAATTTGAAATGCATTAAACTAGGGAAAACATTAAAAATCGAAGAAATTTTCTTTGAAAATAAAAATTCGAAAAAAAAAAAATCATTTCTATTGAATTTTATATTAATTTTCAAAAAAAAAAAATATTTACCAAAACTGATTGGATTTCAATAGTTATTTACCAACCTGCAAGATACCTACCAACAAACCTTTTTAATTTTAATTCATTTAATGTTCAATTAAATATTAGTAAAAATTTATGTGTGACAAAAATGAAAAATAAAATATATTTGATAGGTAGATTTCATTATATGTATTTATTTTTGATTTGAATTTATATACATTCGAATTAAGTTACTTAAAACAAAAAAAAAAGAAATAAGTATAGGTACCTACTAACCTATAGTTTTTTTTTTATTATCAGTATTATAATTATCTTCAAGTCGAATACTAAACATTTTTTTTTTTCGTTGAAAATATAATTATCTTTAAAAAAAAAACATGTTTCCAATCGCTTCAATTATATATATATATATATATGTATATGTATATATACCTACATATGTAGATATACTTATATAATAAAACTATAATTATACGAAACTACTAATATTTTTTATGCTATCTTTCATTTTCAAGATAATAAAATTTCTTTCAAATTTAAGTATCGTTAAGAAGGTATGAAGAGGTACCTACCCATTTCTCATATATATTTTAAACGGATAGAATTTACGTAAAACGTAATAATGAAAAATGGCAACGAAATTAAAAATGATTTTCATACTAGCTTTATTTTTTTTTTTTTAAATTAAAAACAGAATAAGTTGCATATGTTAAGCAAAATAAACGTAAGAGTAATCTTATGATTACTCTTTAAGGTTTATTAATTATTAGTATAATAGCCATTTACAATTGCAATTAGGTACAGTCAATTTATTGAACACGATTTAGAAGTGTCTTAATCTTTCGAATTGACTGTTCATAAAAACAATGTTTGCTTTTTATTTTTAACATAATGTAGTTAAGTAAATATTTTATATTCAAAATACCTAATCATCGTATGTTTATTCAAATTCTTTTGAATAACTTTAAATATTTCACATTCCTCAGTAAACCTTAATCTGATTTGTTTAAATTGCTCTAATTTCTTATGTTTTTTTTTCATCACTTTCACTTTCTTCCTTTAAATAGTTATTTGTGACCATTTTAGTCAGCTAATTTTGATATTAAAATAAATAAATTTTGTTTTTTTCTTAAATTAAGAACATTTCGAGTTAAATTACCTTTCCTTAATCTTTTAGTATCTACTAAAAGATTGGACTTTGCGTTCAAAACTAAATATTCATATCAAAATATGTATGTATATATTGCTCAGAAAAACCTATAGAAAGAAAAATCGTACACTTTTTTTATTCAAATGCAAGGGTCACTGTTTCATTAAAATTAAATAATTTTTTTTTTTTGTAATATTGGGTGTATAAATACTGTGTTAAAAATTGAATAAAATTAAAATAAAATAATAAGTTTTTCAGTATACTCATATACATACTTAACTATTTTTAAATTTTATGATAGGCTACGTTTTCTTGAATGGAGACACAATAAAAGTACCGACCGCGCTTTACACAAATTTGCCAGCAGAAACTATGATAACCACAAATATATATGGGCAAACGGCACCAGTAGCAATAGCAGCAACACAAGTTTCAACAGGAACTCCAGTAGCTGCAGCAGGTTCTGCAGCTGCAGCAATTCCACAACCACAACAAATTGCTTTAATACCAACAGAAAGTATAGATTATACAGGCATGAATGGTGTTATAACAATGTCACATGATAATAGTAATTACTATCAACCTTCTCCTGCTGAAGACTTGAATACTCAGGGAGGAGTTGTGGCTGTTGACAGTGTTTCAGCTCCTAATGCAACTGCAACGAATATTGTTACCAATAATGGTCCAGCTAATACGAATAGTATTAATGTTGGCACTGGTATTAATGCTACTCAAATTCCTTTAGATCAGTTAAAACTGTTGCTAGCAAATCAACTAGATTATTATTTTTCTAGGTAAAGTAAAATAAAAAAAAAAAAAAAAACATTTGCAAAATATTATTATATATGCTATAATGTTAATTGTATTTAATTTTGTTCAGAGAAAATCTCGCAAATGATACGTATTTATTAAGTCAAATGGATAGTGATCAGTACGTTCCAATTTGGACGGTAGCAAATTTCAATCAAGTTAAAAAATTAACAAAGGATATAAAGTTAATAACAGAAGTTTTAAGGGAATCACCAAACGTTCAAGTGGACGACGAAGGGTTAAGAGTGCGTCCAAATCATAAAAGATGTATTATTATATTAAGGGAAATACCAGATAATACTCCAATAGAGGATGTTAAGGTAATTTGTTACTCTTTTATTTTTTTAGTATTTTTTTGTTTTTATTAATTGTGCTTAATTAAATGTCTTTATTTATTCAAAAGAACATATTTAATGGTGAAGACTGCCCAAGGTTAATATCATGCGAATTCGCTCATAATAATTCATGGTATGTAACGTTTGAGTCGGATGAGGATGCTCAAAAAGCTTATAAATTTTTGAGAGAAGTTGTGAAAGAATTTAGGGTAATTCATAATCTTAATTTAAGAGGTTAAAGATAAAAATATTAATTTTGTACAGGGTAAACCAATTATGGCTAGAATAAAAGCAAAACCAATGATGAATCGTTTACCTATGGTACCTGTATCAATAAAGAATGGTTATCGAGCAACACCACCACCAACAGCAGCTACTGCAGTATTTGATCCATCTGCTGCTGCGGTATATGCCGCACCACAACAAAGATATGTTTATGCTACAAACAGTGCTGCAATTGCTCAAGGAACTGTACCAAATGCATATGGTCAAGTTCATATGTTTGTGCGTACTCATAATTAATTAAAATATTTTTTGGCACTAATATTACACAAATTTTAAATTCTAGCCTTTTCAACAACAACAGTTTTATCCGGGTATAGTAACCGCAGCTCCTTGGACCACAACAGCCGCAGCAACAGCAGCAGCTGTAGGGGCAGCTGCAGCTGCTGCTGGCGCACCTACCCATAGTCAAGGTTTTTATGAAATAGGTAGTGTTTTTTCGGCCGGTGGTTTAACTCCAGCACCAGTTGCTGCGGCCAATCCATATGCTGCGACAACAGTTTTGGGTGGTGCTTCTGGTGGTACTACAACAACATCTAACAACAAAAATCAGTCAAATCGTTATAATAGCCACAGGAATAACAATAATCACAATGTTAGAAATAAGCAACGTAATTCTTCCAATCAGCAACAACAACAACAACAGCAGCAACAACAACAAAACATCAATACTGGCCAGGGGGGCGGACATGTTACTGTAATATCTAATGTTGAATCGAACATGGTTCAACAGCATCAACATCAATCTAATTCAAATATTAGTGGTGGCAATAGGCATTACCATCAAATGCAAGCCAAGCAACAACAGTCACAACAACAGCAACAACAGCAGCAACAGCAACAGCAAAATATGATATCAAATCAAATGTCTTCTTCAAAAAACTCTGACAAAATTAACCAGTATGGGGGAGGAAATATTTCCAGTGGCAGTCATCAACAACACCATTCATCCCATCATCAACAACAATCAAACGCTGCAAATATGACAATGGCCAATTCTGGTCAACATCATCACATACAGGCCGCATCTTATCACCAACAGCAACAACAACAACAACATCAGCATCAACAACATCAAACGAATGATGCCTCTTTAAATTACAGTCATCAAGAAGATTCTGGAGCTGTAGTTATTGTTCCTTCCCAACAACATCATCGAAATAATTCATCTTCTAATCAAAACAAAGAGCAATGGTCAAGGTGAGTAGAAACAAAATAAATATTGACTTTGTATAACGTTTTCTTTTACACCTTTATAGGTACAGACGGAGAAGACGTGACGACGATATTAATTCTAATAGCGGTGGTAGTTTAAATTATTCAAACAACCGATCTGGCGGTGGCGGTCAACATAATGTTAATACTGTGCAACATGGCCAATCTAATGTTGGTTCAAATCAATCGAATGTTCACAATGTCGGTAATAATAACAATAATAAAGGGGGAAATTACTCAAATTCATCACATCAAACCTATAATTCATCTAATGATCACCATAACCAATCACAACAAAGTCATGTCCGAATAGATAGATCCGAAAGGAATGATCACCATCGATATCATAGAGAAGACCGTGAAATTAGGCATGACCGTGGGGAGAGGGGTGACCGTGGTGCCGGCAACAATAGTGGAAAAGATAGGTCTCAACATGCTAGTTCACATCATAATCGTGGAGATAGGGAACATTATCAAACACATCATAGTCAACAACAGCAGCAAGTTGTGCATCAACAACCACCGCAGCAACAACCTCAATTCGATTTAGAAGCTTCTGCTTTTCCACCATTACCTGGTTTAGAGCAAACATCGGTATCACCAAGTAACGCAAATAACAGCAACATAAACAATATTTTGCAACAAAATAATTTGTCAAATGCAAATTTCCCGTCTTTGACACAACCTAATAATGCTAACAATTTTAATACAAATTCTGGTAATCCAGTTAATGTAATTACTGGAGTAAATCATCAAGTAGTTCAGGCTGTTCCAAATAATTCAAATAATACAGGTACGGTATTTTCCATTTGAACTTATATAATATTGCTAATATATTTTTTACTGACATTATTATGCTACATAATAATATGAATGTTCTTTCAGGTACTAACAATAATTTTAATTCATCTACTTCAGTTTCTGCTAATGTAGTCAATTTAAAGCCATCAAATCACATTACAGATAATAAAAGATCTGTATTGAATAATTCAACATCTTCTGGTGGTGTAGTCATTGCAGAAAACGCAAATTCGACCAATATATCTGGTAATCGTAGCAACGGCGAATCAAATGTCTTAGGCAATCAAAGTCAAACAATTTCCCAGTTACAACAACCTCAACAAACAACTACATCAAATCAGCAATCTTCCAGTTCCTCTTCTGTATCAAATTCTTGGACAGAAACACAATCAGCAAATCAGCAACAAAAATTACAAACCCAAATAGAAATACGTAGTCAAAGTGGGGGTTCTTCAAATAGTTATAGTAATAACAGCAACAACAATTCAACTCACAGCCACGGTCCAACTGGAAATAAAAATAAAAAAGATCGACACATGTCCGGAGGTGGAGGCAGTGGTAGTAGTGGTAACGCGCATAATTCGAATGATGTTAATGTTACACCAACTATTGTGTCATCGACATCAGCTACTGTTTCAGATATTAAATTAAACAATAATATAAATAACAATAATAATAATAATATTAATAATAATAACAATAATAATAACAGTAATAACAATAATAATAATAATAATAATAATAATAATAATGCAATTAGTTCTTCTTCTGTGATAAAGTGTGTAACACAACAAAATGTGTCTGATAAATCAACAAAGACTGACGAGCCAGCAGCTACGACTCAACATTTGATTAATGGCTTGGAACATTCACAACATCAGCAACAACAAATAGGAAATACAAACACCATATCTGCCACAGCAGCGGTTATTAATACAACTCAAATACAAAATATTGATAATATAACGACTACATATTCAAATAATTTGACTATAATATCTTCAACAAATCAACAACAACAAAATATTTCAAATTCAAACGCTCAAATATCTTCTCCTACATCTCCTCTTTCGCCATCTATTTCATCAACAACATCATCTAATACGTGTAATGTAGCTACTATGACTTCGTCAGCGTCGTCAAATATACCTAGTAAATATTAAAATATATACAAAAGAAGTTTTATTACTTTCTATTTTTTAATACTTTTATTTTTTTTTAAGATATCGCGTCAAATTCAGTTAATAATAGTGGAGCAAAATTAAGTTATGCTCAAGTAGCACAGCATCATAAAGAACGTAGTGGTAGCAGCAGTAGCGCAACAGGTGTTCATATTAAAGATAATAATGGCATCAATTCAAGCAGTATAAAAAATAACGATAATCCAGCCGTGCCAGTTTTAGTCAATAGTCCTGCTATAGCATCAAATCAGAATAATACTGAAAAATCTCAAAATTCTGAAGTTAAAGAGAATAAAACAAAACAAACAAACAATCGAAATAATGATGGAACCAAAGATAGAGGTTATATAAAATCTAATTTTAATATTTAATCAATTTTTATTAGCAAAAAAAAAAAAATACAAAAATGCTAAATGTTTTCCTTAATTCATTTAATTAATTTCTAAATTTCTTATTAAACATAATTTCTTATTTAAATACAATTTTAAGATAATGCACGGGAACATCGCCATAATTCAAACACAAACCGTGCGCGAGGTGACAAAGATCAAAAAAATATTCGCGAACGTCGTGATACAACAGATAGTAGCGGCAATAATAGTGGAAATAACCGAGGACGATCCAGAAATTCTAACAATTAAAAAATTAAGAGAAAATTTCTTTTTTTTTTTTAAGTTTTGCTTTAAATATTTGTAAATTTATAAAAACAAATATATACAATAATTATAATACAATAACTATGTATTAATACATAATATGTACATTTATATGAAATACTACACAACACACATTATTTTTAATTTACTTTTTTTTTTTTTTTTTACTAATTTCAGTGTACGTATTTTGATACAAAAATATTTAAATTATATATGTATATATACATATAAATATACACAAAAAATCCTTATATGCATATAAAAAAATTTAAAAATAATTTGCAATAAATAATAAATTTACTTAAAATATTAAATGTTTACAAAAAAAAACAATCTTCATAGCAAACAAAACAAGAAAAAATGTTAGGTAATAAAGCTATTTTTTTTATTTAACATAAATGGAACTTGTAAAAATTAGTAGTTAAAAATTAAAATTAATAAATATTAATATAGAATTATTAAATAGCAAACAAAACACAGATATATATAAATATATATATATATATATGTATGCATATAAATTCATAACTAAACAGTATAAACTAATAAATACATAATAGAATACAGTACACACCTAATATATGAATACACGTGCAAAAAGACTAAATGCATACAAGGAGTTCTATTTTATTAGCAAAGAATTTTAATATAGAATGATGAAATTTTATCATAGTTTTCATAATATTAAGTTTCGTTCTCTAATTGATTCAAATATCTAAAAATTGCACGTTTTTTTGTTGTCTCAAATTACTTATCAAATTTTTTTGATATTAAACTTCAAAAAAGATTCAGATAAATAAAAATATTAACTAATACAATAATTATATATTCAGCATATAAAAAACATTTAGAAATTGTTTTAAATAAAATTTAAAAATAAATGTTTTCTAATATTTTCTTTTATTAACATTAATAGAAGAGACACGAAACTTAGATAACGCTCCATACTTTCTTACCGACGTTAAAATGTTAGTAAAATGTTAAAATACTAGCAATATTTTTTTTTTATAAAATTTTATTAGTTTTGTTTCCGCTTACATTTTAATATTAAAATTTACAAATAAATAATCTCATATATATTATATTATAATGTATGTATATTTTGTTAAATATTTTGAATATATTTTTTTATGATATTAATTCAACTATTATATGTAATCTCAGATATTCAATTTTAAAATATTTCAACTCCTTAGTAAGTGTTTAGTCATTTACATAAAGTTATTTTATAATAATAGTATATTAATATTATATGTGCATATATCCTTGTATTTACGAAACAATTTCTTTTTTAATACATTCATTATAATATTTAAGCATTAGATCTTTTCATTAGTAACTTTCCTATTATTTGTCATCAAGTGCCAATTTGCCAAAAGTTTTTAAATTTTATAGTGTACGTTGTTTTTCTTTAAACTAACTAATTTTGTACTAACTTAAGTTATGCAAAAAAAATGAAAATTTTTATAATTTTAAGCAGTTTAACAAATAATACTTAAATTGTAACAATAAACAATAACAATTTTACAACAAACCTAACAATATTTCACGTCTAATGATTGCATTCTTTGATTTTTTTTTTTTTTGATTTTTTTGACAAACTCTTAATTGTCAAATAATAAGCACATTTAATAAATATTTATTACAAAAAGAATACCTACTATACCAAATAAAATTAGATATTGACAAAATAAAATGAATACAAATTTATTGCTTTAACAATTTTTAAAATTTACCAAAGCCTTTTTTTTTATAATTGTTTTATTTCGCATAATTTTTTTTAAGGACAAGTTAAGGCAAAATAGGCACTCTATTTAAAATATTTTTTTTCTTTTTATTTTATTTTTTTTTTGTCTCAATTATAATTTTCTTTTGTATGGTTAATATGAAATTATTAAAACAAAAAATAATAAAAAAAAAAAATAAAATCACAAAAAAATATAAGAAAAAAATATAAATAATAACAAAATTTTAACACTAAAAATAAATTAATAAAAATGTAAATAAAATAGAAAAAAAAAAACAAACAAATGCATCAAAATATGCCTTTTTTTGTTTACATTATTTCTCCCCTAAAAAATTGCAGTAGTAACATCTTATTTAGTACACAATACAATTTATTCATTGTTGTCATTGCTAAATTTATGTAACAGTACACGGTATTGTATGACAGTTAACTGCAATTTTAAAGTCATGGTGTTTTATTAATTTTAGTCGAAGAAATTTAATTATATTTTAAAATACGTATTCAATATTTATATTCATTTTTTCAAATTACATACTTATTTTTTTGATATACATATATTTTAATTACACAATATTGTTTAACTAACTATTTTTCTTATTTTATTCAGTGTTCTGCTTTTTTTTCGATTTACACATTATAATAATAATCAAAATGGTGAAAATATTATAAAATTAAAATATTAAAACTAAAATATTCAAAACTATGAATTAAATTATAATATTATTTGAACATTAAGTGCCATAATTATTAAAGATAAAAATTTATATACATATTATATAATATAACATGTAATACAAAAATGTGTATATGTATATATATATATGCAAATATATATATAACAAAAGAAAAGATACATATATCTATTGCAAAACATGTAAAACTTGAATTAATAATAATGAAAAGAAAAAAATGTAAAAATATAAACTAATTAATAATTTTTTGTAATATTTAAACGTAAAAAAAAATCAATTATCCTTTATCCTTTTTTCATTTAGATAGGAAAAGAAACATAATAAAGATTTTTGTTTAATTTTTTTTACTTTCTTTTTGTAAATATTTATTTTTCTTTTCATGTAATTATTTTAATCTCTATTTTTTCTTTATTATGTTAACATAATAAATTTTATTAATATTATGAATTAGCATTTTAATAACCATGTTATTTTCTTTCTTTGATAATCAAATAGTTTTTTCTAATTAAAACTTCATTCGAGAAAAAAAAATACGAGATTAATATTTAATGAATTAAAAAAAAATCAATAGTGCTAGAGTTTATATAAAATTTTGAAAAGAAAAACACAAAAAAAAAAACAAAAGATATATAGAAGATTTAATAAAAGAAAAAAAAAACAATGTAGGAAATCTTTAAAAGAATTTTGAATAAATTATAAAAAGAAAATTTATTAAAGAATGACATTAGTTACAAACTTGTTTAATAAAACAAAAAACAAAAAAAAAATAAACAAAGCAAAAAAAAATGAAACCTAAAAATAATATTGTATTTGAATTATTATGAAAAAATTAAAATATTATGTAAAAAAAAAGAAAACTAATCATAAATTAAAAAAGAAAAATAAATTTATTTTTTAAAAATAATTTAAAGAGTTATATTAAAAATTAAACAAAATAATTATGTTAAAATTAAATATAAAAAATTGAAAAATTGAAAAAAATAATAATAATAATAAATTACAACACAGAAAAATATATTCGTACTTGGAAATTAAAATAATATGCAAACAAAAAAAAAAGACAAAAACTATTAAAATAAATCATGATAAATTCATAACTAAAACAAATTAAATTTTTGTCAACTTTATAAATCTATCTATAAAAAAAAAAAATTAAAACTTTTTCATTAGCGAATCATTAAAAAAAAAAAACAAGAAAAAATTGAAAATTTAAACAAAAATTACTACTAATGAATTAAAAATCACAACAAATTGCACAAAAAATGAAAAATTAATCAATATTTAAAAAGTATTTAAGATGAAATACCAAAAAACAATGATTGATATAAAGAGAACAAAATTTTTAAATAACATGAAAACAATATTGATTTTTTTGTGTTTTTATTAATTTAACTTTTTTATTCAAAATAGCAAATATATTTATATTATTGAAGTTTTAATATTATTTAATTGGACAGAATATGAAATAAAAAATTAAAAATACATATACAAATCATATTGTAAAAATCGGAATATAAAAATCTTATAAATTCTAATAGTGCAGGGAAGAAAAAGGTCTTTGTTAAAAAAAAACTATATTAAAAGATTATTAAAATATTAAATTTAAGTTTGGAAATATGAACATAATAATAAATTATTGCTGTAATATATAATTTAACTGATTATTTTATTATTATATTATTATTTTTTTTTTTAAAGTAACAAATATTTGTATGTATAAAATTTTTGTGGCAAAAAGAGCTCACAAACGGCTAGTTTATTTCTTTGATTAATCGAATAAATTTATGAACACTGCAACATTCTAATTGAAATATGTATTGTTTTTAAATAATTTTATTGTAATTCAAATTTTTAATAAACCATTTTTAAAAACCAAAAAGAAAAAAAAACTTACGTTTAAAGGTATTAAGAATTTTATATAAAATTAAAAATATCATGATAATATATTTATTAAAAATATAAATTTTTATTGGTGTCATTAAAATGATACCTTCTAAACATTGTTAATTTAATAGTTTTATTAATTGTAAAAAATACAAATTTTCATTTTTTTTTTATTGTATTCAAACTTTTTTTTATTATAAATAATTTTATGACTTAAGTATAAGTATTATTTGAAGTTGTATTATAATAAAAAATCACCTTATAATAATTTTTATTCAAGAATATTTAAATTGTGTAAATTGCTTAAAAAAGTATTTTAATAATATCTTACATAATAAATTATCAGTAAAATTTTTCTAATTTCATTGAAAATGTTATCAATGGGGAAAAATTCTATTCAAATATCAATACAAATATTTTCGGGGAAAATAATAATAATAATTTTGCTCTTATTGCCACAAAATATTTAATTCAAATATAATTTTGAAGCTATGAATATTTGAACAATAAAAAAAAGTCTAGAATATTTTTAAAAATTTATTTGGATTAAATTATTTAAAATTTATTTTGTACTTTATTTTTTTTAAATATTTTAAAATAATGTGTTAATAAGACATTAAAAAATAACTATAATATTAATTATAGTATTGGAGAAAAAAGCAATTTTCAACTTTTTCTTTTAAAATTCCAATTCTAATGGATAGAAAACAATTTAATATTAAAAATTCGGAAATAACACTGACACGACACAAAAAAAAAATATATATTCATTTATATAGTAGATAATTTTTGTTATTTAAGTAAATATATTCAAAAAAAAAGTTATAATAAAATTAGATTTTTACAACAAAATAATTAAATATAATATTATAAAACTATACGTGATTTATTGTATTGAAAAATATACTAATTACAAAAAATACATTATAATATATTCAAAAAACATTTAAAACAAAATTATGTACATAACAATGAAATATAATATATAACATTAAGTGCGAAAACAAATACATACATAGTTAAATTTTGCATGAAGATCAAATTAAGTTTCTAATGTAAAGTATCTAATATCCCGGTTTACGTCGTTTACATGCAAAATTCATTAAAATTCATTTCGTTTTTTAATAATATTGTAAAAATACATAATATTTTTGAAGAGATAATTTCTAACCAAATTTATAATTAATTATTATTAAAATTTTAAATTTTAAAAATATTGGAAATAAAAATGAAAATCTTTGAAAAATCGCAAATAAATTCTTTAACAAAAGAAAAACATTTACACATTTTATTTTATTGTAAAAATTTATTAAAGG